AAAAAATTTAAACTCGGACAATTTTAGAGCGTTCAGCCCTTATCTTGGACCAGAATCTCTCACAGAGTGCAACTTAAGTGCTGTCTTTTTTCTAATTATGAGATCCCACTTTTATTTAAGGAGTCTTGCAACAGCAGCAAAACGATGCATATTAACTTGCTATATATTTAATCTTATTTGCACTGGAGTGCAATTGATGATCTAGCCAACATGATCCTGTCTTCTTCATAATTTGTACCCAGTTGATTTAATATATGCACAGAGACACAATGCATTTGAATTTAGCATAATCTGAAGACAAACAAAAGGTACCAGAGGCAATGTTCTAAGGGCAGCTGCACCCATACACTTGTTACATGCAGTGACCAAACATGTAGTTTACCAGCAAGATGTGTGAAAATTCAATATTACTCTTGATTTCTGAAAAGAATTTTAGATTTTCTGGAATAATGTTAAGTGGTTATTTACTTTCCTAAGGCCTTTTTTTTAATGTAAATTCAAGTTTTTGGAGAACAGTCACTTTCTTAAAAAAAATTTACAAAAAAAAAGAAATTTAAAAACAATGTTATAGAAAATATTTCCTCATTCAGTGGCACCACCTCCCTTTCTCTGGATGCCTGTTAAAGCAGGAGAGAGGAAAAGAACAGCTATGCAACAGCTTTAATTGGAGTACTACAGACCATGATTTAACCCTATCAGCTACATCCACTGCCAACACTATTTTAGACTTCATATTAATTAGCTCTGACCTGATTGTGAATAAACATTTATTCACAGTGGCAGCTCAGGCCCTCTTGAGCTGTTGGTTGCAATGTCCAACTTCTCTTTTTCTGACCTAATCTTTTCAGGCTGATTTTCACAACTCTGTAGTTATTTAGTGATTGAGAGAGAAGCACTGAAGGACTGGAGGCTGGTGATGAATTCAGGTGCCTCTAGAGATAGGTTGTTAGTATGTCTATACTATAAAGGCAACAAATCCCATTTTTTCTGTCCAAGCTTTTGGTCCTGTTCTGATTTCAGCGAGTCCTTCTGCATAGTGCTGTGACACATCTGCCTTGCTCTGCAGTGCTCAGGGGTGATCCTGCTTCTACTTACACTGGAATTGCAGTTGTTATTCTGGACCTCAGTAGCAGCAAGATGAGGCTCCCATCTCAGTTGTGTGTTGCTTTGTGTCATTCACCATGATTGGGTTTAGTACAATGACCAGGATGTTATCAGTGATACGTGGTTGATGAAATGAGGAAGTTTATGAAGAGACCTCATTTGGATGGCTAGAAACAATGTTTGCTTTTATGATCCTTGTGGCTTCATTTCCATTGTCCTGGTGATTTGGGGAAGGAAGGAGCCCTGTGAATGATATTCTCTAGCAACATCTATCAGTGTTCATCAACCCCTTGTTTGGTCCATAAGACACATAAAGGTGGTTTATAATGCCAGTTAAAAGATGTTTTCTTAGGTTTTTTCATTTCCATTCATGCACACTTTGATATACTGGAACAGAACTGAAATGGGGAGAATAAATAAGAAAAATAACTGCTAAAATTGAGTACATTTTATTATAAATGCATGTAGTTTTGGTGCCTCTACACAAAGTTCTCCCTGACTTTTAGTAGATTGAAAAGCAATGGGCTGTGGTGTAGAGGCCTCTTGATTAGTACTGGTACATCCAAACATGCTGCTACTGCTTTCAGTTACTTGTGAAGCATTTGTCTTAATATTTAATTGGTGAGAATATATTTTCTATAAGCTTTTTTGCCATCCAGAGCTTCAGTGTTTCAGAGGAGAATGAGGAGTGGCCTTTAGTTCATTCTTTGCTAACAATTAGGATATTTTAGCATTACAAATGAGGCAATATTTGTCAATATTTTCTTCATACTCTTCAACTCCAGTGTATTTCTGCTTAAGTACTCTGCTCCTGTACTCTTTCCTCTTCTACTAAAGCTGATAGTGCATTTAATTGTTTTAAGCAGTGATAGCCATTTCTGAATTTGCTCCAGTGGAAACAGTGAATCTTAGAGGCTTCTACTTTATGCAGGAGGCAGGAATTTACTGGGTTTTTGGTTAAAATGAACTGAAGCATCTGATAGCTGTAACAAATAATAGGGGGAAAATGTACATAAATTCAGAAAGCTTTTATCCCCCAGTCAGTGTATGTTTACACAGACCTCTAGGCCTGCACAGTTAATTTTACATTCACGACATTTAAGCATTGTCTTCATTAGGTACAAGAGCAAATCCTGGAGATAGGACCTCTTGTGTATAAAATGAAAGATGACTAGTATGTTTTTGTCAAAAGACTGATGCGGTGGTTTTGGTGGTGCTTGGGGTATTTTATTTTGGGGTAGTTTTTTGTGTGGTTGGTTTGTATGTTTTTAATTACAGCTGAGGTCTGTTTCAGAGACACATCTGATTTTAAGAAGTTTTCATCTGAAAGGATTTTTGTTCCACTGCTAACAAATTCATGGGTGTGACTGCAGGTCTCTGTGCCCTTCTGACCAGACAGCACCTGGACATTTTTAGAAGAGTTGTGTTTTCTGCCTGCTCTTTGCAGTCAGTCATGTTCAGATATAACTTACAAGCCTTCAAATCACTTGGTTTCTTTCTCCTCTGGAGCTTTGAATGTGACAACTTGGTAACTTCCTTTTCTCTTCCTGTTTCCCTCAGCCTTGTAAAGCCCATGCGACACTATACAGTCTTCCTCTCTGAGGACTCTTCTGATGCTGCATTTCAGCAGAAGGATCCTGTCTCTGGCTTCTCTGAAAACTTTTTCTTCTCTGCTCCTTTTGAATGGTCTATCCTTTATTCTTTCATTGTCTTTGAACAGTGGTGTTTGCATTGGTTAGGATGCCTGCTCCTGTACTTGGAATTTTGGGAATGCTCCTGCGGTCTGTACGGCACTTGGTGAATGTTCAGCACTTCTGCTTGTGTGTGTGGACACTGAGCATGCAAAGCCTCCCCCTGCATGAAGCACCACACAGCCGCACTTAGCTCGGCACTGTACATGGGCTGGAGCTCTGTGGGATGTCACCTTTCCATCTGCCCTTTGTTCCAACATGCTGCTTCTGTTCCTGTCCAGATCTTCTGCCATTCTTCCCAGTGCAGTGCTGGTTGTGTGTTTTGGATTGTCCTGTGAGCTGTTTCAGAACAGTTACCAGCTGGTTCTAGTTTCACTTGCTTGATCCTAGCCTCTCTGCTCTGGCAAGTACCAGGTCCTCAGTGACACTGGGAGTTGTCAGGTAGGTGTCCTCTGAGGGTTTGTGTACAGTACCACCTGAAATTGTACAAGGAACAGGAAGCAGCTTGTTGGATTTTACTCACAGGATTATTTGTATCCAGCTTCTTAATTTGTAAATTGTCAATTCCCAAACCTCTGTAATTCAGTCTTGCCTAGTTTTGAATTCTGGTACTAAACAGCTCAGCCATATTGCAGCTACTGGGCTGCCAGAGCTGTATGTTTCAGCTGCAGGATTGTGCCTCCTGCCCAAGGTGCCTGTGTTGGGGAACAAGTGTTGCCTGTCAGTTCCTGTTTGCCTGGCCAGGCTTCCTTGGGCCCTGGGAGAGGCTGGATGCAGGTGTGTTAGACCAGGCTGGAGAAAGAGGCTGCCAGTTTGATAGTGGAGTCTCCAGTTGCTAAAGTTGTTTGCTGCAGAAGGCAGGTTCAGAGACTGACAGGGAGGGCAGGTGGCTACAGGCAGGTGGGCTTGGGGACAGACAGAGCGGT